TGGCTGTGTTGTTAAGCAAATTTTATGTGTCAGGGCAGATATATCCCGTCCCTCCTGACCCCGCTTCAGCAGAAATATGACCATCTCGTCTTTAATTCGTCATGTGTGGAACTTTTCAATAATGCCAAGTAGAATAAAAAACAATAACTCAGGAAGGAAACTGAGGAATTTCAGACAGTAAGAGTCCTGCTGGTTTGCAGGCAGTCTACTGACTCCGTTATGTGTTGTGTGCTGCTACCCCCTTCCAAGAGCCACTAATCCTCACATATTTGAGTCCAAAATTGCTACTGTCTCCTTAAACTTCTGAAAACTTAATAGAAAAAGGGCAGAAAGGATAACTGCTTTGAGTTTGTCCTGCAGCACATTTATTCTTTGGATAACTGAAATAAGGGCACAATTTTCTACATGCTGAAGCCTCAGTGGCCTTTATCTTTTACATGTTTCCCCGTTCACATTTCCCGATGGTGCATTAGATTTTTTGCTGTTTCCTGTGATGTTTATGCTTTAGCTTAATGCCTGTGGTTCACAGACGAAGCACATTTCCTGTGGTGGTTGGTTGTTTTTTTTTCTGTGTTTTGCCCTTGGAGCCACCATATTCTGTATATTATTAGTTGTTTAACCTGATTCTTACAGATGTGGTTTGGAGCAGTCTGTTTTGGCCTCTTCTCTCCTCCCATTTGCCTCCTCATCGCCACTCCCTTCATGCATGTTGCTGCAGCTTTGGGGAGAGTGCAATAAAACAAGGATGGAGCTAGCAGAAATGTAGGCAGCAGCTGTAACTCAGCCTTTAATGGCTTTGTTTACTTAAAGCTCATTCCTCTGCCTTATTTCTGCATTTCAACTTTTTATTTCACATTAACATTGTGTGTCTATTTTTGACCCTGGTTAAACACCAGTCTCCTCACACAGCTTTCCCAAGTACAGCAGTGATAGATTATTTCTAATTACAAGATACTGATCCTCATTACTCTTTAAAGCTGTTTCCATCTTCCTCTCTTGTCCCTCCCCTTGCTCTAATTAATAAGCTGTGTGAAAATACCCCATAGTAAGGACTGAACACTCTCCACCTCAAACCTCACCTTCCCTCAGGAAATGTTTACAGACACACTTGCTCCACATCAACTCTGCACAATAACACTTTTCCAAGGAACACTTTGTTCACTGGAACGCAGACTGTACTTGACAAATTTTAAAGACTGCTCTCTTTTGCACTCATTGGAGTCACACTTAAGGTAAATCCACAAAGCTTGCCAGATTTTTTTTCTGAGTAAGGCACAAATGTCCAAATTAACATCCGTTGAGTCAAAAAAGCACATTATGCAGAAGTATTCATTAAGTGTACAACCTAATTACCGTCTTACAACATGCAAGGAAATGGAATTAATGACTGCTGCGTTTGTATGCACTCTAAGGAAGGTGCATTTACTCACAGCCAGAGGTCACATGATCCATTTTCCCAATCACTTTCATTGTGAAAGTAATAAACATTCAATAGTACCATTTAATTTCCATTCATTTTTAATTAATATTTAGTCCAAACAAGCTGAACAGAGTACCCCAGTAACAGAAACAATGCAATTAAACTGTTTCACCTAAAGGTGCAACATGTAATCTAGTGAGAATATACAGTAAGAAAATCCCAAAAGAGTCTAGTGTTCAGTCATTTTGGAAGGAAGGTTCTACTGAAACATATTTCATATCCAGCTGCTGTGTGAATTTTTCTCCTTTCAAAACAAAGGAAGGAGGTAACCACTATTTACTATCAGTGAGTGTGGGGTTTCCGTGTCTCCTGCGAACTAATACTGCAGTGCAGACAATTGTAATTTGACGGCTGACCAAAAGCTCCATATTTGTCTAAAGTGGTTGCATTAACCACATTTTTCCACAGGATGTCATTTTTACTTCATTTCTACTAAATGCACTTTTCAATTAGGCGTGTTTCACCCGCTGCAGCTCAAATGCCTTCTGCTCCACGTAAACTTGAACTGTGCACCTGCTTGTGCATAGTCTATTGTCTAAGAGGGCTTGCTGAAGAGGCTATAGAGCTCCGGACGTCACGTGACTCTCGGAGAGTAGACACCATGTTGGCAGGCAACAAATGTAAACAAAATGAACGGGATCGGCTTGGATTATACTTCGTCGGAGTTTACTTCACTCTTAAAACCGAAGAAATCGTTTTATATAGTCAGAAATTAAATAGACTAAACATCTCCGACCCTTACCGTGCCCCTGGGATACTTTTTAAAAACGCCAGAAGCTGTCGGAGCGGACTTCTTACCGGACCTGGCCGGGGAACCCCTTGGGATTCCCCCTTTAGGAGCTGGGCCTCTTGACGCTACTGCCCCCGCAACCCGACTCCGGATAAGCGGATGAAAATGGATGGATGGATGGACAAATAACATAGAGTTTAAATAGAGTGCTGTGCTGTTTGAATGTGTAAACTGAACATCAAGAGAAATCACTAGTCTGATTTTTTTCCATGAATAAAATAAATATGTCAGGCAGGATCGTCTCAGGATCTGTCTGAGATCGGTCTCGGTGAGACAGATAATAGCAATCCAAAGTGCTTTTTATGTGTGATCTGACAATTGATCAACCATTGCTTAAAAATTAAATACTGCTTAGCCGGTTAATTGCTGTGATCATAAAACACGTAAACGGCAGCACGCAGAACTCACGAGGCAACGTTTTACGTGACGTTTACTTGTTACTATGAGTAATAAGACGGAAAAAGCCACGCCAAAATAAGTTTAGGAAGCCCACTAAGAATCGTAATAAAAGCATTTAAAATAAATACCATACACAACTGAGGAAACGTTGGTTTAAGTACGTGATAGGAAGTGGTCGCTGCATAAGCGAAAACCTTTACACTCTGGGTCCCACAGCTTCATTTTAGCCCGGTCACTAGCGCGTTTTATTACAATGATCCAACGTTTGCAGCGTTCCAGATCTTGGGGAATCCTGTAGATGGCTTATTCCTTATGTCGTCCGCGTCTGTTCTGCATCCTGTGGCACAACAGGAATCTACCATATTTCCGATTTGATTGAGTTTTATGACAATAACAAATAGTCCAGCTGCGGGCTTCTTCCTGCCAATATGGCGCCGTTTTGATTTGAACTGTTGCATGCCGGGAGAAGTGACATCAACTCCTGGAGCTCTATAGTCATGAGGTTCAGGACTTTTGCCTCAGACTCATGGCTGTTTAAATGTTCTGGATGAATCCACCCTCCGCTGGCACACTTGAGACTGGAATAACAAGTGTTACTTCAGCCAAAGTTTTAAGATCAGGAAACATTTCTCCAAATGAAACTACCAGAAGTCTACCAGACTCTGAAAGATAGAAGGGTTTCCACTTTCCAGATCTGGAAACACTTGGCATTGTGCTCTTGTGCACTGGCCTGTCATGGACGTGCTCCGAGCGCCTCTTTAACGTGCTGTCAACAGCAACATGCGCCAGATGTGTGACAAAGTGTGAGCTAATGCTCAGACACTCGTTTGGGAATATTTTCTTGATTCATTATCTTACCTCTGTAATGTATTCTGTGCATAACATGTAAAATATCTGTGCACCTGCATAAACTGGTAACAAACTTACTCATTAAGCTATTAACAAATAAAATAAATAAACAGCTCTTGTAAAAATGACCGTTGAAAGGCTCAGCCTATTGTTGATGGTCAAATAATTTGTCCAATCACACTTCAGCTTAATCATTGAATTGTGAGGAACCTCAAGATTCCCACCTCTATCTTAGACCAGGGCTTGTTGCAGGATCAGGGTTCAAATCATTTTCTGTTGTGGGAGACAATTTAGTCTGGATCTGAAAACAATGTACAACATGCATTTGCAGGCTTATCTTATTTGCGTATCGCAGTTTCATATGCTGTATGTGTCTAGTGTGAGTTTCAACACTAGTGGTGGATGATTAACTGAAGAATGAGAGTTACTATAAGAGCCACTGTGGGAGATGAATGATTGCAGCGTTAAATGTAACTGAACAGTGAAGTGGGGACGAGTTCTCACCTTGGCAAAATCAAGATGCTGACTGCAGCAAAAGGTACATTTACAGAGAGACATAACAGCCTATGTGTTTGTCCAGTAATGCTTTAAAAGCCCATATCAGGCAAAGCATGTCATCTTATTGGTTTGAATGTTATTTATTTTCTTTCATTTATTTCTGCATATTTTTTGATTTTCATTTCTGATTTGGTCCCTTGCTTGATCCTTGAGCAGAGTTTATCAACCAGAACGTTGTTTTTGAATGCTGCCCAGTCATCTGACTGGAGTTAGCCCCTGCAACAGTCTGGGATGGTAGCTGCAGCTAACCCACACAAAGACCAAGAACAATGCTTCCTTTTTGCTGACTTTTAAGTAGGGGAACTTCTTAAGGGACTACATTTTCTGATCGTTTGTCAGCAGAACGCTCTTTCTGCGGAACAGTGAAGCATGAATATTCTTGTTGTCTCAAGTAAATAGTGTCATAGCTATACCGCAAATAAATATAGATGTTCAGTACATTCACAAATTCATTCCAGATGGTTAATTTGTGATTTATGATTCTTTGGAAGAGATGAAAATCAGAACACATATTTTTACTGGCCTCACTGGTTCATGTGACCAATAATTAAACTGGTGAGCTCTAGCCGTTAGATAAACTAATGATAAGAGTGTCTGCGAGCAAGCAGTTATCACACAACCGTGTTTGTCTTTTGTATGTATTTTAGGGTCATATTTCACCAGTGCACACTTTCCAAACTTAAATGTTTTAACTTCAGAACTGTACAAGAACCGTTTCTAAATAATTTATTTTTATTTATCTGTTACTTTATTATTCTATAAAGGAATAGAAAGTTATAGAACTTAAGATAATAGTAATTATAAAGGATTTGGACTGGATTTTTTTTTCATCTTGTGGTTTGATTCATTTCAATTGTCTACTTCTTATAAAGAGCCTGAAATGAAGCAGCGCTAACCTTTTGATATTCATTTTTTGTTTTGCAGCTCATAATGTGACCGTGGAGGAGATCCTCTCTTCCTATAAACAGGCCTGTCAGAAACTCAACTGTAAGACTATACCCAAAGTGCTCAAACAAATACAGGTAAGGGTCAGTTTACACACACACACTGGGTTTTTCCACCATAGTGGCTTCAGTGTTAGACTGAGGCTAGTGCTGAGGCTGGATCATTAAAAGCTTTAAATAAAAAGAAGTCAAGTAAAGAACAGCAAAGATCTGGTTATTCCAAAGCTCATTTAGCCTTTTTACTATAAAATAAATAATCTGTTTATTCTCCTTTTCATCCAATTTGAACTGTAAACACTGTCCTACAGGCCATGTGTTACTCCTATCGAATTTAATCATGGCTTAACATCGTTCTTTGGTTTTAACAAACATTTATTGTGGGCACAATGTCTTGAAGTGCCTCACAATGCTCAAAAATGCCATCAGTATTAAAAAAAGAAACACAAACTTTAGTCTATAAAAAATATCGCAGATTTGCACAAATAACACACAAAAAGCCTGCAGAAAGGTACATTTATTCACATGGCTCTCTGATTGTCTCGTCTCGTCTTCCTCCGCTTATCCGGGTCCGGGTCGCGGGGGCAGCATCCCAACTAGGGAGCTCCAGGCCGTCCTCTCCCCGGCCTTGTCCACCAGCTCCTCCGGCAGGACCCCAAGGCGTTCCCGGACCAGATTGGAGATGTAACCTCTCCAACGTGTCCTGGGTCGACCCGGGGGCCTTCTGCCGGCAGGACATGCCCGAAACACCTCCCCGGGGAGGCGTCCAGGAGGCATCCTGACCAGATGCCCAAACCACCTCAACTGGCTCCTTTCGATCCGGAGGAGCAGCGGTTCTACTCCGAGTCCCTCCCGAATGTCCGAGCTCCTCACCCTATCTCTAAGGCTGAGCCCGGCCACCCTACGGAGGAAACTCATTTCGGCCGCTTGTATCCGCGATCTCGTTCTTTCGGTCATTACCCAAAGCTCATGACCATAGGTGAGGATTGGGACGTAGATCGACCGGTAAATCGAGAGCCTGGCTTTCTGGCTCAGCTCCCTCTTCCCCACGACAGATCGGCTCAGCGTCCGCATCACTGCAGACGCCGAACCAATCCGCCTGTCGATCTCCCGATCCCTCCTACCCTCACTCGTGAACAAGACCCCGAGATACTTAAACTCCTCCACTTGAGGTAGGACCTCTCCCCCGACCCGGAGGTGGCAAGCCACCCTTTTCCGGTCGAGAACCATGGTCTCAGATTTGGAGGTGCTGATCCTCATCCCAGCCGCTTCACATTCGGCCGCGAACCTACCCAGCGAGAGCTGAAGGTCAGAGCTGGATGAAGCTAGGAGGACCACATCATCCGCAAAAAGCAGAGACGAGATTCTCCTGCCACCAAACTCGACACACTCCACACCACGGCTGCGTCTAGAAATTCTGTCCATAAAAGTGATGAACAGAACCGCTGACAAAGGGCAGCCCTGGCGGAGTCCAACCCTCACTGGGAACAGGTCCGACTTACTACCGGCTATGCGGACCAAACTCACGCTCCTCTGGTAAAGGGACTGAATGGCCCTTAACAGAAAGCCACCCACCCCATACTCCTGGAGTGTCCCCCACAGGGTGCCCCTGGGGACACGGTCATAAGCCTTCTCCAAATCCACAAAACACATGTGGATTGGTTGGGCAAACTCCCATGCCCCCTCCATCACCCTTGCAAGGGTATAGAGCTGGTCCACAGTTCCACGGCCAGGACGAAAACCACATTGCTCCTCCTCTATCTGAGATTCAACTATCGATCGGACCCTCCTCTCCAGTACCTTGGCGTAGACCTTTCCAGGGAGGCTGAGGAGTGTGATCCCCCTATAGTTGGAACACACCCTCAGGTCACCCTTCTTAAAGATGGGGACCACCACCCCGGTCTGCCACTCCCTAGGAACTGCCCCCGATGACCACGCAATGTTGTAGAGACGTGTCAACCATGACAGCCCTACAACATCCATAGCCTTGAGATACCCAGGACGAACCTCATCCGCCCCCGGGGCTCCGCCGCTGTGTAGTTGTTTGACTACCTCAGCAACTTCTGCCCCCGAGATCGGACATTCCATCCCCAGGCCTCCCAGCTCTGGTTCCTCCTCGGAATGCGCATTGGTGGGATTGAGGAGCTCCTCAAAGTATTCCTTCCACCGTCCGACTATAGCCTCAGTTGACGTCAGCAGCTCCCCATCCCCACTGTAAACAGTGTGAGCGAGTTGCTGCCTTCCTCTCCTGAGGCGCCGGACAGTTTGCCAGAACCTCTTTGGAGCCGATCGATAGTCTTTCTCCATGGCCTCACCAAACTCCTCCCACGCCCGAGATTTTGCCTCGGCAACTGCCACTGCTGCACCCCGCTTGGCTATCCGGTACCTGTCTGCTGCCTCCGGAGACCCACAGACCAGCCACGCCCTGTAGGCCTCCTTCTTCAGCCTGACGGCTCCCCGAACCTCTGGTGTCCACCAGCGGGTACGGGGGTTGCCACCACGACTGGCACCGGCCACCTTACGGCCACAGCTAGCAACAGCCGCCTCGACAATCGCAGAGTGGAACAAGGCCCACTCGGACTCAATGTCCCCCACTGCTCTCGGGACGTGGTCAAAGCTCTGCCGGAGGTGGGAGTTGAAGACCGTCTTGACAGGTTCTTCTGCCAGGCGTTCCCAGCAGACCCTCACTATGCGTTTGGGTCTGCCAGGTCTACGCGGCATGTTCCCTTGCCATCTGATCCAACTCACCACCAGGTGGTGATCAGTTGACAGCTCCGCCCCTCTCTTCACTCGGGTGTCCAAAACATACGGCCGCAGGTCAGATGATACGACTACAAAATCTATCATCGACCTGTGACCTAGGCTGCCCTGGTACCAAGTGTACCGGTGGGCATCCTTATGTTCGAACATGGTGTTCGTTATGGCCAAACTGCGGCTTGCACAGAAGTCCAATAACAAAACACCGCTCGAGTTCAGATTAGGTGGGCCGTTCCTCCCAATCACACCCCTCCAGGTCAAGCTGTCATTGCCCACGTGAGCATTGAAGTCCCCCAGCAGGACAATGGAGTCCCCTGATGGAGCACTATCTAGCACTCGTCCCAGGGACTCCAAAAAGGGTGGGTACTCTGAACTGATATTTGGCCCATAAGCACAAACAACAGTCAGGACCCGTTCCCCGGCCCGAAGGCGCAAGGAAGCTACCCTCTTGTCCCCCGGGGTAAACCCCAACACACAGGCAGAGAGTCTCGGAGCTAACAAAAAGCCAACCCCAGCCCTCCGCCTCTCACCCGGAGCAACTCCAGCAAAGTAGAGTGTCCAACCCCTCTCCAGGTCTCGGGTTCCAGAGCCAATGCAATGTGTTGAGGTGAGTCCGACTATATCTAGCCGGTACCGCTCAACCTCTGCCACAAGCTCGGCTCCTTCCCCGCCAGCGAGCGAGGCTCTCTGATTGTGTTTCAACTAACTTTACCCCACGATCAACAGTGTAATATGTGGAACAAAAGATAAGTTCCTTAGATGTTAATGTGTTTTAACCAAAATAAATTAACTTCATTAATTACATAAATAAAATTGAGATATTACCTGTTTATTATTGTATGTTTTAATGTATTACTAATATGTTTTATTTTCCATTTTTAATTGAGTCCTCTGAACTAATAAGTAAAATATGAGAATTTCTACTGAATGCACCATGATTCAGAAGCACCAATACCTGATCCTGGTATTGGTATTGAGGCCTCTCTCTAGTCAACGTGTTTGTTTTGTTATCCCCACAAACCGATACCTTAATATCAGTCTAGTTATTGATAATCTTCTTTTTAAAGAATCGTCACCACTTAAAAATGCCAACAGCCATTTATGAACTCTAATTTGAATTTATAAACAATTTTGCAAACAGAATTCTTCCGAACCATTTTAAGCAGGATTTATAAACACCAGCTGGTGATATTAAGACTGTTTATAAACAGATAAGCAGGCAGTGATTGTGAATGCAGCTCTATGTGGTAGACTGGACATCCACTGCGCCACTTACTGTATTAAAACAAAAACAGGAAGATGACTGATGAGTAATTCCAGTGCTAGTCTGACTTCTTTGTAATGTGCAAGGTCAGTGTTTTTATTAGTATTTCCTTAAAAAAAATAAAAAAGACTAAATGCTTCATTAAATCAGATCTGTTTAGTTGCTTGTTGGTTTCTTTGATACCTCTAGTCTAAACACACATTTTCTCTGGCTTAAAACTGGCACTGGGTTGGTGGCGAGAAAAAGTAAACAACTATAGCGGCTGAAGCAGACTAGAGCGTTTTAAAATATAATCATGGTTTAATAAAATTATTTTTAGCTTGAAATTATTGCATTTGTTAACTTTTTAAAGCTTTTTTCCCTTGAATTAGTTATTTAATTTACTAAAATTGAGCCGTCTTTCTATGTTGCAATCTACCTCACTGCAGACGCAGTTCAAGTGAGCTTTCTGAGGAATAAACTCCAGCTTGGCTGGTCATTTCATGTTTAGCTGTTCAAAACTTGATTCCTCAACATATAAATACAAATGTAATTCCTAAGAAGATTTTCTGTCTCTAATAAAAAAAATTAATAAAACACAATAAACAGAATCTGTCTCATGTGACGATAAATTAAAATCATCAAACTTCAGCGTTTAACAACTCAGTTTTTTTGTTAAACTGTGGATATAGACACCCTTGGACAAAATGTGTATTTTTGGATGAGTGCTGTTAAAGTATATTTTTGGGGTAGCAGTATCTCAACAGGTTGAGCGGGTTGTCCAGTAATCGGAAGGTTGAAGGTTCTATCCCGGCTCCGGACAGAGAATTCTGCTGTCCTTGGGCAAGACATTTAACCCACCTTGCCTGCTGGTGGTGGTCAGAGGGACCGGCGGCGCCTGCGCTTGGCAGCCTTGCCTCTGTCAGTGCGCAGGGCAGCTGTGGCTACATCGTAGCTCATCACCACCAGTGTGTGAATGTGTGTGTGAATGGATGAATGATACACTATAGTGTAAAGCGCTTTGGAGTACTTACTCCGAGAGGCACTATACAAGTGCGGGTCATTTATCATTTTGCGCCTT